TTAAAATCGTTTAAATATGACATACGCAACGCTCTTTTTACAATTACGTACAAACGTGTATTCTCACTCATGACATTGTTACTTGCTGCGAACTATATCAACATAAACACATTTGTATTGTTACTTGTAACATTGTTTATCAAAAGAGTTTACTACATCTGCATGAACATACCTTTAAATGGACACTCCATTAAAGAAAAATAACATATTTGATGCTATAAAATCGTTTATTACTAGTATTAGAATGTCTTTTATACACCAATGTACACTGCAGAAATTAAATCTATATAAATATAATAGTACTCTGTTGTATGTCCATGTAACTACTTCGCAGGGTGTGGATGGATATTCACCAAATTTGGTATGGAGGTTCATTTGGTCAATGGGGAGATACATACAAACTTTCAGTTTTGAATTTTACGGTTTTTATGGGCGTTTTTTTCCGTTTTTTACCACCACTTCGCCCCTTTTTGATGGATCTTCACCAAATTTGGCATGAAGGTATGTTGAGTCCAAGTGAAGATATACGCAAAGTTGTGGTTTCACATTCTATGTTTTGCAGTTGTTATGGACGTTTTTGCATTTCTTACGATTACATATAAGGGAAGCAGCTTTTGATGTCCTAAGATAACCTTTCATGAATCATGAATTTGCATAACTTTCGTCCAGGGGACGGATACTCCAGCTAGTAATTAATATGCCTTTCTTGTTAGTTGTGACGTTGTTGAATATTTACGTACTATATCAGTATAGATATGCCTTTATTAGTATTTATATTATTGTTAACACATTAGGTTTGTTGCTAATGAAATTAAGTTAGTTTAATAAACATAGAAACACCAATGACATATTTATTTATTGTTTTACTGACACAGTTTACTTATAGGTTGCATGATTTCTATTTAACTCCAGCTTTGTCAGTCCTGTTGTGTCACATTAATTAACATGAGTATGGGTGGTCTGAATAATGGCAGTTAAAGTGAAACCAGGTGCAGATGTGCCTAACTAGTCCTAAGTTGCAACTATAATTGTATAATTTAAATATAATTTGTGCTTAGGAACTTAGAAAAGTAGAATGCTTCCTTTCATCTGACAGTTTGCATGTTGCAACCAAATAGTGTAGTCAGTATTTATTAATTTATTCTTTTAGCCCATTATGTCAAAAAAATAAAGTGGGCTCAGGGACGCAAAAGACGTGCACAATTTGCAGCTTCGATGGTGGGAGCAAGCAAATTGATGAGAGCTTTTCTTGCTGGAACTGATGACACCAGTAAGCCAGCATCCGTTCCTTTTGATGGCAGCAAAGAAGTCAAAGTGCAAGATTGTGAACTTGCTATTTCATTTGAAAAAGAAAACAATGAAGAAACTGTTCTCTGTCCTGTGAAAGCTTCAACAATAATAAACAAGGGGATTCCACTTTGTCAGAAACAAATTCACAGAATAGTGTTGCGAAGCTAAAAGAGGATGACCTAGTAAATATTATAACACACAAGGATATTGGATTTATTAAGTTTGATACAACAGGCTCAGTAGTTGTAACACATGCACATCGCACAGAGATTGTTAAAGTTGGAGCACATGAATTTCAACATAAAGAAGGTCCATTTGATGCCAAAGATGGGCGTTCTATGATTGCATTTTGGTTCAAACGACGCCTTCTGAATGGACAAGAGGTCAATCGTTATGTGACTTTGAACAACACTGAATCACATAAATATCAAAATGGTTTACAAATTATGTAAGTACACCTAGTAGGCTATACTTCATTAGTTCCAGGTTTAAAGTTGTGATATCGTGAGATGTTACATTATGACTTTATTTTAGGCCTATGTAAGGCGGTAACTAATTCTTTTTATTATTGTCATTAAGTGGGTAATGAGTCACAAAACAAATAATCAAAACATTTCAGGGGTGGGGGCGCCAAAAGTGTCTTTACCCCCGGGTGCTGAGAACCCTTGCTACGCCACTGGTCCTGGGTATACAATAGGTTTACGACTGCCTACTCATGACAACCCTACATATGTTCTTCCTATTTCTGTTAGAATGGTAAGTGATTTTAAATTTAAGATTCATTATTTTATCAACGGGAAGAGAAAAACTCAATAATACTTCCATAGTGATTATTTAGTTTAATAGTATCTAAAATTATAAAATGATAGCAATTTTCGGAATATGTCGCTCTTGTTGTTTTATTCTTAAGATGCTTTTTGATCACGGGAACCATTTAACACATTTATTTATTGAGTTCATGTTAAAACCAAAAACTTTACCGAGAAAATAGTTTGGCTGATATGTCGTTCGACTGAAAGCTTATGAGTGAAATAAAAACAGCACTGAAGGAAGAACTCTAATTTCTTATTGAATATATTTACCATTCATATTATGAACCTACATCAATATCTAAAGCATATATCTACAACTGTTTGTTTCGTTATACTATTAATAGAGGTGTTGATAGACTAATACTTATGTTGGCGCAGTTAGGTCACAAATAAAATTATCAACGTTTTTGGATAAAGTATGGTCTTCTTCATACAAACAGTACCTTGTATTGTTATTCAGTGCAAACGTATATCTCTATGCAAAGAAAGAAAATCAACCCTCAGAAATAAGAAATGATAATTAAATACTACAAAAGTACAACGCTCTTGTTTACAATTCATTGCCATGTATATGTTTACTCTCGTGGTATTTTTATAACTCTCTATAAGAGAGTAATTATTTTAACTTTTCAACCTATAACATGCGCAATTACGACCTGATATTTTTAATATTTAACGCTTTTTGTTTTAATGAGCGCCATCTGGTGAAACCTAGATTTGAATATCTAAGCAACAGGTTTTTATTACCCTCAAGATAACAAAAAAAAAGAAGAAAAAACTACACAAATATTAAGTTATAACTATGTTTATGAAGCATGTATTTGGTAAATCATGAAGTTTACGTTTTGATATCCTTTGTCATTTACTATACAGTATACACATCTAAGAGCTAAATGATAAAATAGTTCAAATAAAAAAAAATATAGTGAAGATGCAATATAAGTTTCGGTCAAATGATGAACTGCTTTTATTTCGATTACGACGAAGGGTTTGTCTCTGTAACACTGAAAATAATTATTTGTATGGGCTAGCATGAACTAGTAGTTAGGGCGTTCGACTCGCAATCTGTGGGTCGCAGGTTTGAATCCCATCACCGAAAATGCCGCTCTTTCAGCCATGGAGGCGATATAATGTGATTGTCAATTCTCTCTATCAGTTGGTAAAAAGTAGTCCAAGAGTTGGGTGTGGGTGGTGTTAACCAGGTGCTTTCTCTCTGATCTATCACTTTTAAATTAAGGATGGCTAGTGCAGATAGTCCTCAAGTAGTTTTGCGCGAAATTCATCAAAAACAAACTCTCTTACATCTATCGGGATAATTTTTTATTTTTTACAGATGATACACCACGCTATAGCTGCATTTGTTTGTTTGCTGATTTTTAGGACAATATAGGATTTGTAGTAAATATCATATATCAGACGAACCTTCAGCATTCGGACCCGCAGCTCGTCACGCTAATGACTGAGCCAAACCCAGCTCGATTAAACAAAGAAATTTGATATTGTTTTCAGTGCTAAAAATGTGCCTGTTATCAGAAAACCTCTCAATTATATTATAGGTTTGACAGTACTGTTATGTATTGTCGAAACCCACACTCATCAGGGGACCTAGTACTAAGTAGACAAACTATAAGCACTTTATATAAAAACAAATATATAATTTAAATCCATCTTGTCATTTTTTACTGTTAGTCATTTTATATCTTAGCTCATATAGACAGGATCAACAGCTGAATAAAGTAAATAACTTAATGTTTTATAAAAATTATGCAATGCCGATTAAAAAACAACAGCAACAACAACAACCGGTAGTAATAAAAAAAAGATTGTACATAATGTAATCTTAGGTAGTAGACTAGTACGTTCTGGTGTTTAAAGAATTATACAAATATGTCTTAGGTAACACAAAACTTGTATCCATAATGCCTCTTACATTGGTAAAACTATACGCCAACTACTCCAGCGTGCCTGCGAATATATGGGAGTATCAAGCAGAACTGCTAAGCAACTATCAAACCCACCAGATTCCACAATTCACACACACAGTGAAAACAACTACCACCCCGTCTTGACAACAAATTTCAAAGTTATCTCATTTGGATCATCCAGTACTAAACTTATAATTAAAGAAAGTTTATATATTATAAATGAACTTCCAACTTTAAATAATAACAAAGCTTCACTACAATTAAATCTGTTCTGAATACTTGTATAACATTGTTACAATTGTTGCATTATCCTATTCTTTGTTATTTGTTACTACAATTAAGTCTGTTCTGAATAACTTGTAATGTATAATATTGTTACAGTTGTTGCATTATCATGTTATTTCTTGCTAATTTGTATGTCTTTTAATTTACTTCATCCGTTATTACTTTTTATAAAATGTTTAAACTTTATAAATTTTTGTACCTAATAATTTACCCTATTCAATATAGCTTGCTGAACTAGGAATACGTATATCCTGAAACGTTTAAGAATTAAATGTTTGTTACTGTATACACACGTGTCAAATGTTCGCTTTTGCTTCTGTCGTTCTACTGTTCGTGATTAAACTTCGATTCCCGTCGAATGAATCTATTGTATTCATAAATAGTGAACGCATAAAAATGTAGGCAGTTCTCTCGTTATGCACGTAAAATTATGATGTGGTTTGAGGATATTTATAGATCTGAAAAGTACAAATATCAACTGAAACAACTTTTAACAATTATTGCCACATGATAGTATTATTTTAAGAATTGTTGCCCTATGCTACTATTGGTAGTACTAGTAACATTATCGACAGTTGTTTAATTTTGTTTTTAATGAACATTTTAAAATCTGTTTCACGATTAATGTGACATTTTAATATTTTTTACAACACGAACTGGATAGAATACCCATTTAGCTTTAACTTACACTAGAAATCCGTACGGGCTGACGTGCCTGCCGACCTCCTTGAATACGAAATCCCCAGGGCGATCCTCCGGCGAGCCTAACATGGAAGTGACTTTTCATTTTTGAAACTTCGGATAATCCGTTCGCATTAGTTTCAAAGAAAAAAATTTAAGACAAATCAAATTTATATGAAATAATTGAATAGCTAAAAACAATTTTCTAGGCCTGTAAGCTAAAATCGAAGCTTCGACTTTCTGCGTAAAAATTAGAAGCTCGCAAAGTCGTCATTTAAGGCCAAGTATTTACATCCATTCACACCATTTGATAAACGTTCAGAACCTAAATGCTTCAGCGTTCTCTGATGTTGAGATAATGACATTTATGTAATATGCTCCTTTTAATTTTTGTCTTCGACGGATGACGCACACTATTACATTCAAACGTTCCGGATGGTTAACTAGACAATCGCTGAGCATTGAAAGTCCCACTCACAACGTAGAATAAATAGCCTTCTTCACTCCCAGCTAGCTAACATCTACATTCAGCACGAGACGAGTAGACATGTGTATCTTATTTTCACTCTTCGATAGCTGGGGTATTTCACGCCTATTTAATTATATATATATAATCTAGCTGAATAAGTTTGGAAATACTCAGATATTTTGACTATTTGCCAAATTAGGAAATTCAATCATGATTAGTCTCTTTTTTTTTTTAGTATTTTGAAAAAATGTCTACCAAATACTGGGTATTTAGCGCCCTCTTTTGATAGCTAACAAAACTACGAATACCATTTTAGACAATAACATGATGGGACAAAGATCTCTAGCTTGTAAAATTTTATAAGGACCAAGTTGTTGTAAGCGGCATATTTAAATTATTTCACAAGCCCAGGATTTTCATTACGTCTGGCAGATAACTAGATGACATAACCTATTGGAGAAATAAAAATGTCTGATGATTAATATATGAAATCCTATAAGAATGCAGTCTGTTGGAGAAGTAAAAATGTAAAATGTGTGATGGTTAATCAGTGATGGTCTTAAAAGAACTTTATCTGTTGGAAAGTAAAAAAAACTGCGTAACATTCGTTAGTGAAATTTTATAGAACGCAATATTTTGAGGAAGTAAAATGTTCAGAAAGTAAAATGTTTTGACTACTAGTGAGTAAAGACGCTATAAGTATCGAACATTTTATGGAGCATTATATGTTATAGTATTCCTTTCCCTGCCACGGCTTCTTCAGGTTCGGGTTGAAAATCACTTGTGGATTATGAAGAAAAATATATGAAGTAACAATAAGGTATGAGAAGCCTAACGAGTAAATTCTGAAATATTACGGCTAGCATGGCTTGGTGATTAGGGCGCTCGACTTGCAATCTGTAGGTCACGGGTTTGAATCCCCTTCACTGAACACAGTCGCTCTTTCAGTCGTGGGGGGGGGGCGTTACAATGTGACGGTCAATCCTACTATTCATTGGTAAAAGAGTAGACTAAGAGTTGGCGGTGGGTAGTGTTGACTAGCTGCCTTCCCTCTCTCTATCACTACTATATTAGGGACGGCTAGTGCAGATAGCCCTCATGTAGCTTTGCGCGAAATTCAAAACAAACAAACAAACTGAAAGCTTACATTTCAAACACCCATAATTATCCCCAAAAGTGGGTAATATGGAATTAATAGTATTTCAAATCCTTTAGAGCTGGTATATAATCTTATTTTGTGTTTAGGGACCTAGTGTTGCAATTAAAACAGAAGATTTGTTATTTAGTTTTATAAATTATTTTTATCTCAAAGTAGCTCCATATGTCGGTGCCTCATTACCAAATTTGAGGGCTTATAGCACTAAAAAATCGTGGTTCGTTCCCAGCAGTAGTCGTGGCACAAAACGTTCATCGTGCTTGTCAATAAACAAAACTTTCATTGAGCCTTGAGTGATAAAATTACAGTGCTCGTACTCAAAATGTGGCTTCTTAAACCATACATGATTGAATAAGTTATATTACAATGACTTTGAACATGCAAAACAACAAGTCAAGTGACAATCTCAGTTGATATAAAGTCGCGGTAGAACGGTATGTATCAGAACCATATTTTAACCATACAAAGATGGTGTAGTGATACTCAAAATTAGTTGTTTTGGGGAAAGGCATGTAATAGGCATTTTCGACACAAAATATTCATACCATAAGACCACACAGGTGTGTTAATATTGGGGATTTAGAATTTCAAAAACAAGGATATATATACTTTATGGCATTCAAAAACAAAGTAATATGGATCATATTGGGATTCAGGACAATCCAGAAAGAGACTAGCAACAAGTCGTATCTCAACTGTGGTAAGCAAAGTACGGTATCTTGTAACAGATGTGAACCCACGAGCAAAAAGGTCTGTTTCAAACACCGTCCAGGCTCGCCCTTTCAGCCGTGGGGGCGTTATAATGTGGCGGCCAATCCCACTATTCGATGGTAAATGAGTAGCCCAAGAGTTGGCGGTGGGTGGTGATAACTAGCTGCTTTCCCTCTAGTCTTTTACAGCTAAATCAGGGATAGCTAGCGCATATAGCCTTCGTGTAGCTTTGCGCGAAATTCAAACAAACAAACAAAAACCGTCCACCTACCTCAATGCCTCAGGCAACAGTACACAACATAATTAAGAAGGATCGCCGTTTGAAAAAAAGCTACACAAACTGTTTCCACGACATATCTGTTCAACTAAAGTATACTTCAGACAGCTGGACAATGAAACGAGTATCTATGCTATCCATATAAAGACATACAAGTGTAATCGCCGGATACAGCGCCATTGAATTTCTGTGTTGGAAACTCTTAAAGAGTAAGGCGTGTACTTTGAACATGACAAACTTATGACAGCCACTTTTGCAATGGAAACTACGCAAAATGCACGGTGATCAGAGATAACATGACGATATGATGAGGCTCAAAAGTAATTTTAATATAAACTCTATATATTAATATAATAGTTTTATACACAAATCAACGAATTGATATAATAATTTAATTATGTTGAAATATAAAAAAATAACTGTATTCGAGTAGCTTCGGCAAATAAATACATAAGTATTTAGTTAGCGAATATAATTCGTAAAATACTAGTTAACTTTGGAACAATAAATAAAAACGTCAAGCAAAAAATACATAAGCTTTAGTATTAATCATTTGGAATTTCATATGTAGAAACGAATTGGAGGTGTATATTAAGCTTTAAGCAGTGAAGTATTGAATATATAGAGCCTATAAGTGAAAAAAATTCTGGTTATAACCCAAAGCTAATTCTTACACCTTCGTGCATTGTTGGAGGTTGTTTTTAATAAAGTTACATAAAAATTCCGAGCTTATAAATTCATATGCATATATACATTAGTAATTGTACACGAATAAAGTAATTAATATTGGTTTATCAGCGAAATAAGGAAAAACCCCTGATGAATCAGCGGTAAAGTTGGGGGCTTGTAATGTTAAAATTCAGGGTTCGGTCCCTCCGATGGTCACAGTGGAGAATGCACGTCGTGGAGCTTTATGCTTAAAACTATATAACAAATATATTCATGGTGTCGCCATCTGTCGGTAGTTTGAATTACAAATTATAATGAATATTAATGCTTTCAAGAAAGGGCGAGCATGTTCGGTGGGGGACTGTTAATCTCTCAGTAACACTTAACGTGTAAAGCTTATACTTGAAGATTTGTTTTAACACACTAAGAGGCAGTTATTGTTTAAAGCTTTGCTATTGTACGTCTTTTTTTTTCGTTCAGCGGTGGGGGCATTATAATGTATGGTCAATCTCACTAATCTTTGGTAAAAGAGTAGCCAAAGAGTTGACGGAGAGTGGTGATGACTAACTGCATTTCCTCTAGTCTATCACTACTAAATTAGGGACGGCTAGTACAGATAGTAAAAACAAACCATATAATTAAGAGCGGAAGTGTACCTAACTAGTGTTGCTTTGATTTATAGGAATTTTAAGATTGACTTAAGCTGGACATGTGTTATATTTTTATTATTTCTATTTTAAGTAAAATTCATCATTTTTGAAGAACTGAGCGTTTTAATATGCAACATATATATATATATATATATTTATACACACTCATGCACACATATATCTTCACACACAAGTATATATATACAGTATACAGATATATACTCTTTTATTGCTACTTTCTGACATTGCATAACATTTGAAATGATTCATCAAATTAACTAACTCTTTGTCTTTGAAAGCTATTACTGTAAAACTAATACGCTAAAATAACTTTACAAGAAATAAACGATCGGTAGCACATTCTTCAGTTTACTTTTTTTTTGTTTATTGTTGAAGCTTTATTTTATATATCTTCATATATATATACATAAGCCCGGCATGGACATGTGGTTAACGCGTTCGACGCGCAATCTGCGGGTCGCGGGTTCGAATTCCCGTCACACCAAACATGCTCGCCCTTTCAGTCGTGGGTGCGTTATAATGTGACGAATCAATTCCATTATTCGTTGGTAAAATAGTAGCCCAAGAGTTGGCGGGGGGTGGTGATGATTAGCTGCCTTCCCACTAGTCTTACACTGCTAAATTAAGGACGGCTAGCGCAGATAGCCCTCGTGTAGCTTTGCGCGAAATTCAAAAACAAACAATTTTTTTTTCGTAGTCAGTAGCTAAAGGAAGTTTAAGTAAGAGATCAATAACATACATAGTAAAATAGCTGTATCCACTCGTTAATACTTCCCTATTGACATCGAGAAGAACGTGAACCAGAGTTTTCACTACGCATGTTAAATTTTTCATTGCTCCTACTTTATCGGCAAAAAAATCAAAAGTTAAGGACATAATTCAATTGTTATTCACAATATTAACCTTAAAACGTAAAATAATAAAAAGAAACAGATAATGTTACAAAATTTATTATCCCTAGTATTACTTTTCTGTTTTAAAAATGAAATATTTCATCATACATTGTTCAAAGCTCTATATTAGAATGATGAAGGGCGTCATCGTTACGTTAACTTTTGTAAGGTTCGTTAGGCATTTTTGACTTTCAATAATTACGGATAGGTAGTGCTGTCCAACCGATTTACAAAAATAATTATTTTTTCACCATGCCTGCATAAAATGCATGAACAAACAATTAACGCTTCCTGTTATCCCTAGTTTGGAAGTCACATCCTGATTTGCTGATAGTCCTTCCTCTCTTAACAATTAGTTACGGTTCAGTTCATTAAAGAAGTTGAACGAGTTGGGGCATGTTTTCTCTGAAAATCTACAGTAGAGTTTGGTTCTCAGAAATTTACGTGGGAAGACCAATGAAAATCGTAATAACATAGGTTAATAGATTAGAAAACGATTTACCTTGTTGAGTAATTATTAAGCCTGTACTGATTTGAAAAAGGAAACAGGGAACTATGTACAAGTTAAACGTCATGGAGTCAAGCAGATGACATTTAATACTGGTGAGGTATTGCACATGTATATGACATGTGACGGAAGTTTGGTAATTATTTTTATGGCAAAGTTTATTACCTCGCGTCTGAATTAGGAGAAAAAC